AGCAAACAGCAAATGGAAACATGATGCTCAACACAGAATACTAAAGTAGACATTTCTCTACCAGTGCTTAGTTGTATTTAAAGGGGGAGTGTCTGCAAAATCTATCACCTGGCGGTTTTCAAGGCCACATTAACTGTTTAACTTATTTTTAGTTTTACATACACAAGGATGTACAGAAAAACTGAGAATAAAAAAGTCAAATCCATCAATGCTCAAGCATTCACCAGCTAAGAATTCTTTCTGCATTTTTTTTAGATAAATCTGATCATTATACCATAAAAAGTCCATCATTGTCTCTGTACAGATGTAAGGAGCATGTGCAAACTGTTTTCATATTTCTGTTCCTGTAGAGTGTTGCTCAGTGTTGAGATATATTACACCATGCATCATGTTTCATACCCCATTACCCTCAGTGATACTTTATTGTCATATACCAGCCGCTGTTTGTATGAAAAACTGACTTACAAGATGTACAAGACTTTGCTGCAGATTTACGCATCCTATACAGCAATAATACAGCCACTAGATCTATTTATTAATGCAACACATATGTGCATCACCTCGCTTTATACTGTTTGTGAATATCCTTGACCTTCAGTTTACATTACTTTCTATCTTAGTCATGATAGCTATTGAACAAAACAGTGGAATTATTTATTGATTGGTGCCTCCTGGTAAAATCCAGCACATCTTCAGAACTAGAGAACTATACATTCCTTCATTCACTATTTAATCTCACACATACCAAACTATTTTATATAGTATATTTCATATAATGTATAAGAGAAAAATATATGACAGTTCAATCATCTCGAGTTTGCATATTTATACACCCTTTAAGCATCAGTTTTGTCCCAGATGTTTCTCCTTAAATGTCTTTAAGATTAATAAAATAAACACAAATGAGACAGCTAAGAATATAGAGATATAAAATAAACGTGGATAAAGGATAATACAGCACACATAATTTGATTTTTGAAGCAATTTGATTTTTGAGTTCATGCTGAAATCTCAGACTCTGGTATCTTGGCAAACAGACTTCTGAAACTCCAGACCAGATGAACCACATGAGAGATTAATACTTCTCAAGAGAAAATAGAAGACTTTCTGTTAAGAAATAAACCTTAATAAAACTCATTGCTGTCTATGAGAAACAACTCAGAGAGATCTCATTTGTGATTTGTCTTTCCTGTGGGGAGTCAAAAAGGGGTTTAATTTACGCCTACAGTCTTATGTACACTTCCACAACTCTTACCCTGCGTATGCAAATCTTTTTGACGTCATTCTACCTTCATACTGAACACTTGTTTCTAAAGCAAATGTCAGGGATACAAATGTTCCAGGTTCGTTTATAGCGTTAATTACGACCATTTTCATATAGCCTATTTAAATATTTACTTTTAATCTAGATTGAATATCTCCTCCCTCGTGTACGCACTTATGTATTAAAGCTATTTCAGTGCGTCCATCATACTGACTGATAGGAATTCATGTTTGAATAGGAAAAGAGACCAAATTGGCTATTACACAAATATATTTTTCAACAAATAAAATGTGAAAAGGTTATCGCAAAGCATATTATTTCGTCTCCCGAGGGAAAAGTAAGCTAAATTTCTCCTCCTGGTTCAGAATAAGTTCAAAAATTCATCTCACTAAACTGACCTGTTTTACACACCCGACAAGATAATTTTTTTTTTTTTTTTTAAATATATAATGGACAATTTTGCCCTTTATTATTGGATCAGGTACGCTATAGTAAAAGTGGTGCACCTTCACAAATATTTTCTCACCGAAGACGAAAAATAAAGAATTAAAGAGTTACTGACAGGTTTTAAAAAGCAATAAACCACAAAAATCAAGCCATTTCGTCCATGAGGTTTGTTATTTCTAACGTATCATGATGTAGGCTATCACTCACCTCTTTAACTTGCGGTTGCTCGTTTCTTTGGTCAGGTAGTATTTTCCGGCTATTCAGCAATATGAAATAGAGTAAAGCGGCTATCCAAAACAACGCTGCGAGAACTAATGTCAGCTTTCGAGAAAGCCTCTTCATTTTCAAACGGCCGTTAACGACTCATTTCAGTTTGAAAACCAATCGCGCGCTTCTCTCTCAGCGACCGAAAGCGAATTGTGTCCGCGCGCTGCGCTCGCGCACTTGCCCCTATAGTGCCTAATATCCAGAAATGAGGTTGTTGCTCTCGTGCGCAGCGCGCTGACTTGCTAAGACTGTGAGTGACGATGGACGCTGTCCAGCGCAATTAAAATCATCCCGTGTACCCACCGAGGTACCGACAAAATGTGAATGCGTTTAGCACCACCTACCGCGGAACAGCGCTTTTTTTACGGACCTGCCTGTTCTTGATGCGCTTCTAACACAGTAGACTCGCTCTGAATTTCTCTCCGTTATTTGTGAAATGGGCTCACAATAAGCAGGGCTCCCACTGCATTGAAAAACCTGGAAATATCAGAGGATTTTATAAGCAGCGATTTGTAGTACTGCAAAGCCATGGAAATTAATAAATACTTAAATGTAAAGTTATGAAAACGTCTATGATTAATAGAATTAAAGTTATTGTAACCTAATTATTGCAGTGTACAAAATGTTCATTGTGCGTGCAATCTCTATGAAAAAAATAATTTTAAAAATCCTGATCTTGTAATCACCATTGACTAAAAAACTAATAGAAATTCATTTCCACTTTGACATGAAATCAGATTGGAACCAATTATTTCGGATAACTCTGTGTTACATTTCTTGTAACTCAATATCAGAGCCAGTATACAGACGTGCAGTCTGAGGCTGAGACTAAAGTTGATCCATCACCATTTCATCCTTGAAACAGGGCACTTAACCTCAGGAGGACTTTCTTTAAAAAGTGCACTGCACGACAGTGAGGACAAAAGTGACAGCTAAATGACAAATCATTAATTAAACTTTGCTCAAGGACACCAGAACCGTAAATCAATTCATTTATTTATAACAGCTATATTTAATTATTAAGTAATTTCTCACAATATGATCGGCACACTAAGTTACACTCTTAAGCTGCTTTTCCACTATCGGGCCGAACGGTTCTCTTTGCTTAAGCGTACCATTCCGTGCCGATCCGGGCCAGTCAGCACGGATACGGTTTCATTTTCCACTGTGGTGCTCATAACGGAGCTCTTTGGAATGTAATACAAATGCGTAGTCGTTGCCTTGGTAACGCAATTGTAATGCAAACAGCGATATGGACGATGACCAGGTATTTCTGTTTTTGGGACTCCTTTTTTATACGATATTTACCTCGTTAAATAACAGAAAAAAGGACACAACTCTTGACGCGAAAAATAAAATAAACAGAAGGCGACGACGGGTAGCCTATAATATCAATAAGCGCAAATGTTTCCTCCACAGACCAAACTGTCTCAGAAAAAATAATAATTCTTTTTTTATATTGAACGTAGCGTAGGCCTAGCTGTTTACTTGGCTGTTTGATCAAATAGCGCGCTTTCGCTCAGCCAGCTATGGAGAAACTGGTAGCCAGGCAACAGAGTGGCGACGTCACGCACACGCACTCTACCAGCACGGCTCAGCACGGTTGTTTAAAGCGCTTTTCCACTATCGGGCCGAACGGTTCTAAGAACTGTCAGGTACGGTTCCAGTTGTATTTCCACCTGAGCCTGGTACGGCGCGGCCAAGCGGAAACCTCCCACTCTCTCTCGTGAAGCCAACAAGGAAGTGACTTAAACTGTAATTCGTCAACTGGCCGCTAGAGGCTGGCTGCAAAAGGGAGTCAATCCCATAGACTCCCCATGTTAAAATGCCCAACTTTACAGCAGAAAAAAAAAACGTTTACAGCCTGGTTCAAAAAATTATTTTGGTCTATATAGCTAATTTTGCCCTTCATGACAACTGTGAGGGGGGTGAAGTTTTTTTAAACTCACCCGTTTAAATTATATTAAGCCTTAAAGTTCTGCATAATTAAGGGCGTGGCCACTTGAGTGACAGGTGGATTGCCGCTGCTGTCACCACCATCGAGCTAGGTGGGCGTGGTTTCAACAACCAGGTCCCGCCTCTTTGCCCATCTTCGATTATCCGGGATTGACGCGCAGTGACGCACTGCCAAGATGGCGACGGCCGCCTCCGCCCACTTTTGAGCTTCAAAAACTCTCTTCGGAACCCTACGGGTGACGTCACGGACACTACGTCCATGTTTTTATACAGTCTATGGGCTGTTGAAAAGCATGTGCCTATTCTTTGTTTCTCGATTTTGCAATTAATCTCTCATCTTAAACCGGTTAAAGTCGATCTGAATTGGTGTTTGCAATCCAATTTATTTCCACAATTTGACATATTTGAGAGCGCAACAGGACATTCAATGATAGGAATGTACACTCTTAAAAATAAAGGTTCCAAAAGGGGGTTTTCGTAGTGAAGTACCATTTGGGTTCCCCAAAGAACCTTTCAGTGAACAGTTCTTAAAAGAACCATTTTTTTCTTAGCATGAAGAACATTTTCCTCTATGAAGAACCTTTTGTTCAATGGAAAGTTTCCATGGATGTTAAGGGTTCTTCATGAAACCATAGATTCCAATAAAAACCCTTTATTTTTAGAGAGTAAGTTGATTTTATCCACTGGAATTTTATTAGATGGTGAAAAGTGGGAGTTGCATACATGATTGGAGCCAGTACAAAGTAAGTTTGCTAAAACAATGGCCATCGTGTGTGATTCTTGATGAAACTGCGTTTATGATCTATTGATTTTATGATTCTCTCCATGCCATCCCCAGCATCTCTGGAAAAGCACTCTGGATAAGACAGGAAACAAACAAGTTTGTACTTGTCTCTCATTTTTGATAAAACAGGGAGAAAGGAGCAGGTATTTATAAGTGTGTGTTGTTGATTTGTTTGGTCTTTCTTCCATCATTTCCATAACGCATTTTAGCTATGGTACTAGGAATAGGAATGCAATGCAAATACAACTTTTTTTCCTTTTAATTTTGCTGACTTGCCTTTAATTTGATGTTGCCTCACTTCCAGATGTTACCATTCAATCAGCATTGTGAAGCCAAACCTTTGGTCAACAGCACACATTCTGGTCCTCCTTGCAGCTGGCCAATGCAAAACATTGTTTTTACATGCCATTTAGGGGCAGATTTATCTGAAAAAGATGATAGCACAGTCATAGACAGAAGCAGAAGAAACGCAAATACAGTAACAGCAAGGCAGTTTCCACAGAAGAATGGTTATCTATACAGGAAACTCAGAAGAGTAAGAACTAGCAGTGGTTATTTCACATAACTCAGAAAACAAAGCTGACTAGTTTTGCTTGTGAATCTCTTGTTAACTTGCTACCAAGTGCTTCAGACAAACTTTGAAAAATTGGGCAAACTTTGGCAAATCCGCCAATCCAACAAAAACTATCCAAACAGAACATGGCATTTCAGAGGGATGTGGATATGTCAAAGGCCCTGGTTATCCTGGCATTCACTAGACAGATAAATTAGAGGTAAAGAGCATAGACCAAGGATAATGTTACATGGACAGGTCTGTTCTACAAGGCAATCAGCCAGGAGTGAAAGGGGAGTGAAACACGGCTCCTGAAAAACGAATTACCTTAGTGTGACTGAAAGGGAAACAATAGACTAAAAGGGTGCAGAGAAATTCCATTTTGCTTTGTCTAATGGGTCGATAACAGGGGATGGCCAAAAAGCAGCCAACAGGAGCATGAAGAGAGAAACAACATCTGAGAGCATCATTTAGGACAGTCAGTCCTTCAAGTATCTGAACAAGCACTGTAAAGTAAAAAATAACTGGAAAACAAGCACACTATTGTGTATTCCATTTGAAGACAGTAAATTAAGAGAGAAAAGATCTGTTGTCTGCTGTGTATATATATACTCTAATGGTATTGAAGGTGGGAGAGAGCGCTGTACATTCACTCCCCCCACCTACAATCCCTGCCGGTACGAGACTCGAACCCGCAACCTTTAGGTTACGAGTCCAACTCTCTAACCATTAGGCCACGACTTCCCCTATATAGTAGACATCTATGAGAATGCTGTACTGCAAATGCTATTGACAGTGTGGGCAGATTCTTTTACATTGCTATGCGAGTGGGTGCAATAAAATAAAAATAAATGAAATAACAGTTAAAAGTGCTGCTGTTCTTGGCAGTGAATGTGCAAAAGTGCCAGCACAGCCAGAAAGTAAAAGCAGAACGACAGGTGATGAGGCAGTCCTGCGTGTTTGGATGTTGGAAAGGCAAAGCAGAGGCAGGAATGTGGGAGCAGAGCCTTAGTCAGATTCCACAAGTGCAAGATGAATCTTGTCTAGTGAACTGTGAAGATTGGGGGGAAAAAAGCTGACTTTAACTGAATAAATGGTTGCGGGTGAGAAGTCGAAGCATGTTTGTTCAGACACAGTGAATGTGGAGAGCTTAATAAGGACATACTTTCTCACCAACACAATCTGCCTGTTAAGCTACCCAGAGTTCCAACCATTAGTGCTGATCCCGTGAGGCACAAAAGTGCTGACAAACTTTCTCTAGTTTTGACACTTTCTCTCATATAAAAGAGAACATTTATGCTTATCTCTATAATCTACACCCAGAGTATTGTATATCTTCCAGGTAATGTATGAAATATCACAGTTTGATCGTTTCTATTCAATGCTGTCAGATATTTTCTGATCCTCAAAGGAGTTTATTATTATATAATGCTCTTTTGAGTATTAAATGTGTTCATATAAGCACCTGAGGGGCAGTAGGTTCCGTCTTAGATTCAGCTCAGCTATTATTCAAGTCAGCCTAATGGATGTGTCTCAAATGCCAGACAAATAAGTTCTTATAATTTTCACTATTATAGTGTCAAGTATCATGGCACAACGTTAATACCTCCGCACAGGGTGAACGTGCTGGATTGTATTGCATGGTGAAATGTATGGTAATAAATTGAGCTGGAATGGCACAGTCATTAATCAGAAGTAGCACAGTAGACCAGCCTTAGCAGAGAGAGATGAAGCACTTTGTAAGTAATGGAGGAGCTGCCAGTGGGGAAGATGGGAGGCTTTCAAGCCAGCCTTCCCCACATAGTCAGCAAAGATCAACAGCAAAGCAGGCAATGTGCGATTGGAAGTGAGTTCAGTTTCACTGAATTTACATGAGAAAAAATAATTAATTCACAAATATACTTTAACAAAAACTGAATTTATGTTCAATTAAATTTAACAAAATAATTATTTGAGCTAAAGCCTGAAATACATTTTAGATTTCAACTGCTAAACATAATTAAAATGATCTATACAATTTAATTAAATTAAAATGTAAAAATAAAATAATATAACATTTTAGATTTCAACGGCTAAATATAAACTAACACTTGAGCCATCAGTTCTGAAAATATGGCAGATGCAGTTTGATGGAACATTTTTGGTCAGATTTAAAAAAAAAATAATAATAAAATTTAATTAAATATAAAATTAAATAAAAAACCTGAAATAAAATAACAATAGAATGACAAAATAAAATAAAAATTCAAACATTTTAGATTTCAACTGCTAAATCATTCAGTTCTGAATAAATTTATAATTTTATAATTTTATAATAAAATCATTTTAAAATAAAAAATTAAATTAAATAATGAAATAAAAGAAAAAAACTCACTCTAGTATGTACTAATCTAATAGACATGGCCTCAAAGCCACAAAACTTCTGTTTTGAGTTCATTGGGTCTTTCAGGAGTAAAATTATCAGTCTTTGGGTCAACAGGACTAACATCATCCTGAATAAAACTGCTGTTCTCACTGGCACGCTTATCATCAATATCCTCTTTGAGACCACCATCTCTCACACCAAATAACCATGGCAGATAAAACAACAAAGAAGAGACATTCATCTCTCTGAATGTAATATTGTGAGATGTGTTTGTCCTGCGTACTCACACAAACAATCTTGCTCTCCTGGATGGGTGTTGTCCAAATACCACTTGACGGATGTGAACAGGAGTCACTTGCAGAGCTCTTGCCTGCCAAAAATTCAGATAAGAGTGGTGAGGAATTGAGAAACAAAATAACAGAGGAATATTTTCCAATATACCCTCCATTTCTTACAAATAATGTACACAGTCACACACAAGCATCCGCAAATGGCCACCAAAAACATAAAAAAATTCAATGATGACTAGGACACAGAGAATCCCATAAACAGAGCTGCATAAATAACACCTACAATATACTTCTCATTGGCATTTTTTTCTGAGGTAAAACAACTTTAGAGGTACAATAGAGCTGGACAGGCTGTTAATGATTTTCATACCAACCGCATGCCATTACTTGTTAAAACTAACATTTTAATTATACAGAAAAGTTAGTTTATCTACATTCTAATGTTCATTTTTATTCATTCATTGAACTTAAACGTGAAAACGTAATGAGTTGCCATCAAAGAAAAGTTTGCCCAGTGATTGTCGTTTAGATACAAAGCCGAATTGTGATTTTTTTCTCCCCCTCTTTCCCAGTGCGGTGCTTTTTTCATCATGCTGTTCCAACATCCCTTTCTGTCAGGCTGAGTAAGTGAGCTCATAAGAATCTGCCTCAGGGGATAAAATCATCCATGGACAAAGCTGTAAAACCACAGATTAAATGCATCACCAAATTCCTCCTGATTACTGTTTGTCATTAAACACTACATCTGTAACAGGTCTGCCAGAGCTATTATGAAGCTGAGGGTAACGGTGATGATCAGACAATGGAGATGTGTGACATGACGGTCAGTGTCAGGCGGTCTGAGCCAATGAAGATGAGTTACAAGCCCTGAGTTGCTTTGGTAAAGTTTCAGCAAATTATATTCAGGTGGAGAAGGATAGTGAAGCAGGATGAGAGGTGTAGAGATGAGACTGGAGTGACAGATAAAGGGGGTGTGATGCAAAAAGATGAATGGCTGTCTGCAAAGCACTTTGGGAGAGGGATAATATGGTTGAGACAGACTCGGTCTCATTTTTCATGCTTAGAGAAAGCATTAGCAATACTTCTCCCTCTTTCTCAGTCCCTCTGTATTTTCACACCCATCTGACTTTGCGGTACATGAGTCCCCAGTCGCTGCATCAATTAAAGGTGTCATTTACTGAAAATAGAGCATAACTTGGTATGAATCCACTGCATGTGTGTCACGCATTTGTCAGAGCATCTCTTTATCACATGCTCACTTTGAGTCATCCTCCAGCTCATATAACTGACAAAAATCCACATTAGTTATCGCCATAACATCGCAAGTCCTGGGTTTGTAAGATAGCATTCAGAATCAGATGAGACTAAACAGCGTGGGGCGAATTTACGCTATCTAGTTTAACCAGACAGTATCGGCGGTAAAATCAGTGGAAGTCTTTTTATGTAAATTAGGTTTATTATTTATAGATTGTGGCTTATTTACAAAACGCAGCACTATTACCACCCACAGACAGCAGGAGGTAAACAGAATTTTCTTAAAAAGAGATGTTTATTTGCATTTTATGGCAGCAGTAATTCATCAAATAAAGATCAAATGATGGAGAAGAGTGCAATAATCAGGCATACGCCTATAAGTGCCTTGAAAACACAAATTTTAGTGGTGAAAGTGGTGGAAGGGTGCTACAGTTCCAGTAAAGTATGCCAGATTGTAATAGTCTGCTGCATTCTCCACAGCTGTGCAACAGTAATTAAAAATACACATTTTTGGAAGCATGTTTGCTTTGTTGCCTAGATTTGCATAATTCCTTTAGTGAATTGGGCACTAAAACAATGCACAGCATACAAATAAACTATCAACGGGCACACTTCATTCTCTGCGAATTATTCCCTGTATTTTAAAGCAGATTAATCAGTACATTTAGACAGGATTCAAAATAGATGGAAGAAACCAGGTTGAAAATGTTCAAGGTTGAATTGAACCTGGATGGACTTAATTGGTTTTGATGTTATCCTGCGCTACTTTCTCATTACTTTGCCTGGACTTTCTGTAGTAATCATCACTTCCTTCAGCTGCTTTCTCAGCATTGAGTTTCAGCCTTATATGTGCTTAGATCACAGCACAGATAAAGGCCACAAGGGCTTGGGGGTTTTATTATTTGATGAAATGAAAAACTGAGGCCTTTTCCCACTTGACTGACCAACACCTCCCCAATTTCACCCACCACACCAATCCCACACACACGCTATCTCCTCATGCCAACCAGATCCAACTTTCCTGCTTTTTCTTCCTTTCAGAAACTTTAGAGGTTAAAGGAGTCACTTCTCCCAGCTCATTTCTCAGCAACCATGTGCTTCCAATTGAATCTGGTCAAACCTGCAAAAGAGAGAGAGAGGGAGAGATAGTAGCTGCTTTCCAGTTCACAGGGTCCATATGTGGTGTTCAGATATATTCAGATGTTCACCTGCAACATAGTGAAATAACAGCTGAATCATGCACATGAGTTTTGGATATGATGACTGGATATGTAAATTAATCTTTGTTTATAATACAAGTGGGTAAACTTCCCTCTCCACTCATAATGTGTATTATTTTAAATATGTAATAATATGTATTTTTTAAATAAATACTGATGAATGAATTATTATTGTCAGGATTATGGACCTGTTTTGCCCCTGTTTCTGTTTCAGTGTTCCCTTATTTGGTCATGTTCCTGTTCTTGTTGTCTCCTTATTAGTTGATTTCCCGCACATGTCTGTCCCTCGTTAAGTTTAGTATAAATGTGTAGTCTGCCTCATGTTTCCTTGTCGGGTCTTGAACGTCTTCCTTGTGCTCTGTGTCTCCCTGTTGGATTATAAAAGACTCTCGTTCTGTTAAATCTCCACGTCTCCTCGTTTCCTCGTGCCCGTGCTCCAGCGAATTGTGACAGAAGACCCAACCGAAACAGTTACCTCCGTGTGTCTACCCTCCGTTTTTGTTTCTGTTTTTTTTCCCTCAGTGTTTTGTTTCCGTTGTTTTCTCCATGGATCCCCTCTCCCGTCCGGAGTACCTCCTCCTCCTGCTGGAGCAGGGGGAGAGATCGCTCGAGGGCCATACTAGACTGTTCCTGGTCCTCGCTGCTCTAACCAGCTACCCGGACGACGCGCTCTGTGCGTTCTACGATGCCAGTTTAAACATCTCATGCAGAGCGCTGTCGTCCGAGGATGGTTCTCGAGCGAATTTCGCGGCCTTTATGGAGTGGAGTGCCACTCCGGACCCAGGACCCAGCCCACCGCTGACGGAGAGCCGGAGCCTGCCACGACCGACGAGCCATCACTACACGGAGCGACAGAGCTGAGGATCGCCGCGGAACCAGAGCTGCTGAAGATGTCAGTCAAGGTGTGTGAGCCGGCAACAATGCCCGCCACGAGGGAGAAAGCCGCGGAGGGTGTGAGCACGGAGAGGAGCTCCGCCCCCTGCACCGCGGCTGAGGGTGAGCTGTGTATGGCGCGGCGACTGTGCCACACCGAAGAGGAGAGGGCTCCCGTTCCTAAGTTCTGGCCTGAAAGCCCGGAGGCTCACATATGCTCGCCCTCCCACCCGCTCCTGCCTCCTCCTCCGCTGTCGTCTGGCAGCCCCTCTGCTCGCCCTCAGCCCACCATCGATGCGGTGCTAGCTCTGTGGGACTGCCATCCTCCAGCGTCGCCGTGGTCGGAGTATCCCTTGACTCTGCCTCCAGCCTCTAAGCCCCGGACTCCGCCTCGGCCCGCGGACCCGTCGGCTCCACCATGACTCTTAGCTCCCTCCTCTTCGCTGTGACCTGGCAGTCCACTAGCTCCGCCGGGCTCCCTCATCCCTCCGGCTCTGCTTTGGTCTGGCGTCGACCATCCTGCACCTTGGGACTCCACTACTCTGGCTTCGCCTCGTCCCTTCGTCCTTCCGGCTCCGCAGGCTCCTTCATCCCCTCGGCTCCTCCTCAGTCCTCTGTCGCTACGGCTCCACCGCGGCCTCCCGGATCCATGCCTTCGCGTCAGTCGCCAGCGAAATCTACTCCGCCTAGGACCTCCGGATCCTCCCCGTCGCCCTGGCTCCTCGGCTCTCCATCTCCGCCTCGGGCTCCTCCACCACCTGCTCCGCCGCCGTTGGTCGGCCCCCTGGAGTCGGTGGCCATTCTTCCTCCATGGCTCCTCCCTCCGTCGGCTCCACCGTGGGTCGCCATCATGGCTGTGGCCTAGGTCCTGCTTGGCTCCTCCTGCTCCAAGTTCTTCCTGTTTCCTCCCTGGCTCCTCCATCTGTCTGATCCACCCTGGCTCCTCCCTCCGTCGTCACCTCCCTGGTCTCTGCCTGCTGGCCCCCTCCTGGGTGTCCGTCCTCCTCCTGAGCCGCCTCCCAAGTTCCCACCCGTGTCCCCCCTCTCTATTGTTCTACGGTGCGAGGACGCGCCTTCCGGGAGGAGGGCAATATGTCAGGATTATGGACTTTATACGAGTTGGAATCTAAATTAATACACAAAGATCAGAATTACATCTGGAGAGCATTTAGTTTGAAAAAAAGACCGGCTGACAGGAATCCCTCTCTCTGCCTTAATTCATTTTTAGAATAAAGACGGTCAATGATTAAAGAGATAAATTCTGCTGGTGAGGGCTTTAATCAGTATAATGGTTCATTAATGGCTAGATCCCATCTGCCCACTGCTTATGCTGGTAATAACCTTCACATAAACCTTTAAACATCACTGCTTTGTATACAATCACACCAAATGAATAACTTCTCATGTTTATGGTTGTTAAAAAAGTTCCATTAATTCCAAACTATCTTCTGTTTACAACATATTCAATCCTTTTGGTAAAAGAACAGCTTGTTAAAATTCTGCGATGCATTATCAATACTATGCATTCCATTCGAATCTGCTTTTACACTGGTCGATTAGCAATACATTTAGAAATACATACACATGCTGAATGAGTAGCCAGCGATGCATGAAGCTCTGGGTAAAATCCTTGCACCTTTCAGATATTGATTTCCCAAGAACAACAGGCTTTGGAGCATGATAGGTAAGCCCTGGAGTCCTGCATTAATCATAAATTCAGAGGTAAAGTTAATGCAATGCAGAGCTTAAAAAAAAACTTCTATAGTCTGACAGATCATAATGCACTCCAAAACATCTAGTCTCCAGTGTTTAATAAAAACAAATGAGATATTGCTGTGCTAGTAATCTAAACCTGTCTTAAATGCAAATACAGTGTCATGAGGGGGTTTATTTTCAGAAAGGCCTGTGTTCTGCTCCACAAAATGTTTCTTCCCATAATGTCATCAGTCCATGTAATGTGAAGAGACACACATTTGTGCTGAATGCCACAGCCTTGTATTGTAGGACAGTGTCATTGTGACAACACCAGACCTGTTGGAGCCCTTACATGGTACTGTAACCCTAGCCAATTAAAAATCCCATTTCATCCTCAATAACGCTTTATTCTGGATGGGTGAACTCAGCCTCCTCTGGTTTACACTGTCAGAGTAGGTGCATACTGACTGTTCAAATGAGGCTTGAGTTCTTCTATCTGAGCTGGCAAGCTGGGTAAAGAGAAAGCAGAAGCGATTATCTTCAGCTAAAGTTAATGGAACCAACATAGCAGAACAGGGAATACTCTGTGTGGGAATTAGGATGACAGTTGAGTTTAAACATAGTTAACCTTTAACAGTTTTGTGAGACGAGATGTCTCATCCAGTTAGTTACACAAAAACATGCATCAATGTTGAACCTGAAGTAGTGTTCATGTAAAACTAAGGTTGCCTTCCATACAAAAATCAACAAAGTTGTCAATCTAAATGATTTGGGCCACCTAAAACAGCTTTATATCTGTATGCTGTGACTTAGCAATAGTAAAAGAAGTAGCAATAGTGTGCGTGCATGTGTGTGTGTGCGCGTGTGTGTGTGTGTGTGTGGCTGT